GTCCTTTTCGGCCAGGCAGCTTTCCAGCCACTCCTCCCCAGACATTATAGCAAATGTTTTTAATGTTTTCCATTAAATTTATGTGTAAATACAGAAGTTTACAAAATTTACTCAGTCTTGTGATTCCCAGGGCCAACTCTGCAGCTTCTATAATCTAATTGCAATCCATGCAGCAATATCTACTAGATATATTATCTTGCAGCACAAAAAATTGAGTACTATCACAAAAGCAGCATTAAACAAAGTAATAAAGAAATTCAGTAGTTTTACAGTCAAGTATTTTTTGAAATCCTAACTCTCTGCTGACACAAGACACAGCTTTCTCTCCAGATTTTTCAACTGATGTTTTAAACAGTCAACTAAAACCTCAAATATATTTAAATAATATCCTATACAGTGAGTGTATATATTTATAGTATATAAAAAACTTTTCTATCTAAAGAAGTATACCCATTTAGAAGCTGTTGTATCTCTGTGCATGTGTACACATAGATACTTTCTAGATATAGAAGTAACTTAAAATGGCATACAATAGAAGTCAAACCTCTACACTTCATGAAACATTTGTGTTTCCCCCACAATAATCATTACAACTGCTATAGTCTCCTCTCCAAGTACAATCTGAAGTCTCATTTCTAGATCTAGTACGTTGCCTTTTGTTTCATGTCTTTAGAGACCCAAATATAAGCCTTACAAATATTACATTTACACTGTCACAAATCCATTTTCTTAGACAACCACTGCACTGTCTAGAAGAATGTTCAATGAAAAACACAACAGTGTTACATGAAGGAGCACAACAAGAAAGATGAAAACGTATCCAGCATATAAACCCATGACATTCAGGGCCTACTCGCTTAAGTAATCATTAATATGCTTAAAATCAATATCTGTGAGTAGCCCTATTATACTACACATTTACATACTTGCAGGATTAAGGTTTTCTACTTTACCTGTTTTCATGAAGCCTGGGTGTTCAGCAATGTTTGCACTGTTTAGAAGTTTCACCGCTTTACGATAATTGCCCCTCAAATATTCAAAATTGCTTTTAAGAAAGAGAGAAGGAGCTGACTGTGAAGAAGAAAACAACAGTGAATTATCTCGTTTCATGATTTCTACTGCTAGTGTTAAATCACTCCACAAACAGCTTGCCCCCGCTGCCATTTTAAAAATACACAGGCTTAGGCCTTAATATTTTCATGAAGTAGCTTTTCGTTGTTGAGCACGTGATTAACACTCACCTCCTCCGAACTACAAAACTATACATATTTTTTGTTACTACTCTAAAAATCCAGCATTATGCTAGAGAACTCTGTCATGACAATGGCTAAGCACAGAGCATCTTTCTGAGAGGATCTTTCTCGAACCTGTCTTCTACTACACTCCTCCCCACGCTTCCCTCCCTGTGGAGTTCAACAGCTTCCTCCTGGGCTGTGATCGTCCTGGTCTGCCAACAGAGACCTCAGGATCCAGAAGGATTTCTGTCAAACTAGCAGCTGTTGAGACTGGCAACAGAAGGGAATTGCTCTCCTACCATTCCCTGCTCCTCAGTTAATGTAGAATTTATCTGGGATGGTGGATGTAATTCTGGGTTGAGAACTTCTATATAAAAAAAAGAAACTGCTTTCTAGCAAGAGGTAAGCCGCCAAAAAACTCCAACAAAAAGAAAAAAAAAAACAAAAAACTGAGTACCCCAGAATTAATCTTTTATGAACTGGTTTAAGCCAGCAATGACAGCAGAAGTTTGTAATTCCCATAACATTTATACTAAACTAAAATTTGTTTTGCACTGCTTAAATTATAAAGCAAACTGACCCTGTTTTGGTATCATTAACAATAAAGTGCGTTTTTCTGAGCAACTGAAAACAGCACAAATAAGAAAATTCTACATTAATCACACTTGCAGAAAAGAGATCACAAACCCAGCCAACTACATAAAGCATTATTTCAGACATTCAACCTCAGTAAGACCTTTCTTTGTAAAGAAAATTAGCAAATTCAGTGTTAAGATAGAAGACAGATCTAGATTAGAAGAACAATAGCCTTAAGAATACTTACATTCCCAGCTGTATTCATAACAGACTTGATCTCCCTTTTGCATGCTTTTAGTGACTTCATCTGGATATAGGCTCTCACTTTATACTGTTAAAAAATTAAATTTGTTAAATAAAAAACAATAACTTGTGCAGGTTTGCAAGATGAACCATATCTGGAGATTTATTACAGAGTATTTATATACATCTTCAAAATAGGTATTAAAAGCTGATCAAAAAGACTTCCTAAAAGAGAAAATCTATTCAGACTTTCAACAACAAATTTATAGGCTTCATATTTACAGCAAGCAGATGTACATTTTGTTCAATGGTCAACAGCTACTCTATATCCAAACACTGAAACACTAGCACTTAAAATGACAAACTAATTAAAATAATCTAACCTCTTAATCCCAGACATTTACCTATGAAACTGAAAACACCAATAAGTGAATGCTGATAGAGAAGCATTTTGTTTCTTCACATATTTTTTCCACAGAACAGTACAGTGAAATAAAGCCTCAGCTGATTTAGACTGTTCTTGTGTTAGGTCAGTTTTTGCCCATACATGGATCTTACAAAGGAAGACTTAGTTCTTTGGTTTTACAAAATGAAATTCAAGGAGAGACAAAGTTATCACAGTTCATGCTGAGCTAGATTTGAAGTAGATGGCACTTGGTTTTAAGAAAAACTTGCACGGATGTTCTTGTATAAGTCATATGCAGACACTTACCTGATGTATCTTAGATTTAGCAACTTCTATTAAAGCTCCACTTTCAGCTTTTTGATTTGAGGATTCTTTATTTGTATTATTACCTGACTGTCAAACAAACAAACAAAAAAAAGGAATTGTTACTAATAGTCACATTTAAGTTTACAGACTCTTTCATAAGCTATTTTTATCAATCTCACACGAAGAAGAAAAATAAGTATTTAATACTCAAAAAATACACATCCCACCAAATACTGTAACTTGAGCTTAACAATCAAAATCTAAGAACAACCACACCAGCCTATGAAAAGCACAATTCTATTAACATTACGTAACGTAGTGTTACGCTATGTTGCTCTGCGGTTGAGGTATTTTAAGAATTCTTTTACCCAGAAGGATGATATGCACATTCTAGAGCCTCTCTCTAATATTTGTTTCAGTAGAATTACTAGATACCTAAAGATAAAGTGTTTTCTCTTAAGCATGACATTCCATCAACAGGAAAAGACAGAAGTGTCCTCTTTTCACTTCCAAGCCACTACTCATTCTACTGATTTTTCCAAAAGACACATACAAAAGACTTAATTTGAAAGCATATCTCATACTTTCAGATACTATGTAAAAAAGATGTTTGATTTTCCATACTACAGTACGCAATTGCAATTCCTCTCTGACACCAACTTCCCTTTCAAACTTAGGGTCTCATATGGTCATAATCCAAGAGAAACAAGGAGAACTATGTATATTTGACCCTGAAGACAACCATCTTTCCAATACAAGTCTGTGACTTAAGAAATACTTCTTAGCTCCCTGGTAGTAAGAGAAAAGGGTGGCAGAGAGGGAATAAACAGCTGCTGTATACAATTAACTCAGCTACTAACACGTATAAGTTGCTGTCTGAAGTTACAGGTGATGTAACACAGTTATAATTCCAAAGTATTTTAAAATAAGTAATTCTGAATTGAGTTAAAGCTTACTTCTGGTAAACACTTAGTGGCATTCACATGATTTTAAGCTTACCTCATTTTTCCCATTCTTGCTGTTATTGTTGCCCTGTGAAATCATTTTTTCCAGAACAGCAAGCAGATGCAAGGCTTTCTCAGCTTGGTAAGTTAGCAAGTATAAGTCTACAAGCAAGAAGCACACAGCCTGGGCAAACTTCTCTTCTGTATAAAGCAAAGAAGTAAAAGTGATTTTACAGCTCTAATACCAATCCTTCCAAACATGACTGAAGAAAAAAATTAATTATATGTAGAACCCCACAGAATTTGACAGGATTCCATACAAACATACTCTGTGAAGGCAGCCAAGCAGAGGTAAGTCCCAAATAAGCATATTGAAAACTGGGAGGAATTGATGGAGAAACACAGTAGCATTTACTTAATTTATAGAGTCACATACACCTATACATTCTTCAGCCTTGTCTCCCCTAAAATTCAACAAGGATTATGAAGTTATTTCATACAAGTAAGGCAATTCCACTACACAGGATGCCACAGCTCATAAAAGCTCAAGACTTTATACTCAGACATGAGCACATACAATTATGTATGACCTAATGCAGGTATTTAAAAATGTGAGTGCCCTGACAAATACACACCCACCCATGAAGTTGGATGATGACTCAAAATAACTAGATTTTAAATAATTTAATTAGCTTGTACGTATTATTTACATAAATGCCTTTTAAAGTTGTCAAAAATCCATTTCGGTTTCATTATACTTGTCTGCTAAATGTCTCTGAAGTACCTTCCCCCCAAATTCAATTGTTGGCCTTGATATAAGTAAAACATATTCTTCATTCCAAAGCCTACCTACTTTTTTAGAACCATATTAGGCAATTTACAAATAATTTGTCTGACAGTGAGAAAGTCTGAATAATCTTTCTCTAGTTACTGCATGAACAAGACTCTTCTTTCTGTCTACATACCAAAAGGCTCTACAAACTGGTACAGCTTCTCCCCAACTGATATAGCTTCAGTATACTGACGCAGATGATACAAAATAACAGCTTGATTGTAGTACAGCATACTATTTTCAACATCATCTACACCATCCATTTCTTCAACAGCAGAGTGAACCTGAAAAAAAAAACCCCACTCATTTCATTAAACTTTCAATATCTATGATTTTTAAAAGTGTCAAGTATTTTAAAAAAGTAATCCAAAGGTATTAATCTGTCTAAAGACAGGTCAGTAAGAGTTATAAGCTAATAAACTTTATTGTTGTTCAACATAAATCCAACAAAAAATTTACAATTGAGAAAGCCATCAATTGAGTAGTAAAGTAACATTCTCACTTTTTTATTATTTCACAAACTATTTCAGGTTAAGGAACTTTCTATTGAAAGAACATAGCAGGTCTTTCTACAGTTATAATCTCTGAAACCTTTGAGCTTCAGATCAATTTCAACAATAACTAAAAACATAACTATAAAAAGTTGTCCTAAATGATTAAACAGACTCAGAGGTTTAAAAGTAACATTACTTTCTTACTCCTTTATTAAATCTAGGGGACAAGGGGCAGAAGTTTTATTCCTTTTTCACTGGAAGATCTCAGCACCATTAACAGTACTCAAAATCAAGTCCCATTTGCATTACCTGATTCTTCAGCTGGTTAAGGGTTTGTCTCAAATTGTCTGTTGTAGTCTGGTTACTTTTACAGAACTCCGCAACAGCAGTATTCAAAGTTATTTTGTAGTCATCTTTGTTTATGTCTTGAAGGGTATTTAGGTGTTGTAAACAAGCATCATAGTTTCCAGCCTGGAAATTGCACACATACCGGAAACATGCATTAGAAGATACAAAGTTTTAACTAGCAGGCTACTAAATTTTAATGAAAGTATCCTCTGTAAGTTTAGAGAGCAAAGTAGTATTTCCTTTATCAACAGTAAGTGAAGCGAACTAAATGTCTACACACATACTTCATTACTTATGCAGATTAATATGTATGAGAAGTAAGTCTGAAAGTTGAGGTCATATCCAAACCTCAAAAAGAATTTTGTGGAGGAAGGACAAATGGAGTAGTCGATTACTATAAACAGATGTTTCCATAAAAAGTTATTCTAATTTCTCTTCATCGTATTATTTTGAGTTTCAAGATTCTTTATTTCCTTAGCTTTCGTAATCTTTCCCCATCACACGTACACTGAGCGGCTGCAGTGGCTTACATAAGTCCCAGCCTGTCATTTTACGTTCATTCTTCACTTCATCTGGAGAGATTGCGAGGTACAATTTAGTCTGTGGAAGTCAGCTTAAGACAGATTTAAAAGAGGGTATCGCTTTCCCAGTACAGGTTTAAATAACATATTTACAAGTTTTAGCTGTTGAATGAAGCATTCAATCATCTAGGCATGCTTAAACAGAAACTAGGACCCAAGCATGATGCTCCTCCTAGGTGCGATTTAATCAAGAAATCCCTTTCTTTGACCTCAGGAATAGGCAAGGACTTCAGACAGGCTCACCTCTTTCTGTTTTCAGTTTTAGTCTTTTCTGTGCTTGTGCAGGAGGAATTTAGTGGCATCAAGGAATGAAAGAGAACTCCAGACTCTTTCAACTATGTTAAGCCTAAAGGATCCTTCAGTCTCTACTGTTCAATTCCTATACAGGAATAATCACCTCTTCCGTAGAAGGGTTACTTCCAATCTGGTCAGTCAGATAAGCAGATTCATTTCCATCTCTGTCAACGCTTCACAATCAAAAGCTGTGCTCTTGAGTACCACGACCACTCTCCACTTCCTCCTCCTTTTTAAGTGCTGTTCCATGGAGCTTCTCCTGGGCTCCTGCCTAACTTCCTCTATTAAGGGAAGAATTACAACAGAGAAAGGCTCTGTGGTCCTTCTGCTCTTCCTGAGAAAGCTGCCATTCTGCGGCTACTCTCAACAGAACCATCCCAGTCCCTTCAGTCTCCTGCAAAAGCACAGTTATACAACATACAGAGAGAGATGTAGCAGCACATTGACACGCAGTATTTCCACAACTCTGAGTATCAACAGCATGGATTGCCTAGTGATCATGTGCATAAACACAGGGACTTGCAACTCAACTGCTGGCACGTTCTTCAACTGAGACCGTTCATATCCCAATGATTTTCTTTATGTGTTCACACTCAGAGCTTCTCTTCAACAGGATTAGCTTTCAGATCACAGCAGCATGGCTTCTAGCCATGGTTGGACTAAAAACCTTGAACCCCTTAAATACTCAGCTTGTTTTGTGATGTTTTTCCTCAGCCAACAGTCCTTTAACTCTACTCTATTAGACAGGCTCTAGAATATAATATACAATTTTATAGTAATTCTATCAAAGACAGAAATTGGAAGTGCAGTATGATAAAAGCATGCAAGGCAGTCCACAAAGCTATTTAGAGCAACTCAATGGCAAGCAAAATTAGTAAACAAGGCACCAGATTAATTCTGACATCTGTCACCACCTCACAACATCACAAACTTAGGGAGTTCTTAAAGCAAGAAAAAAGAGATAAACAAGATACACTGGACCAGTATAAAATTAAAGATGAAGCTGTCAACAGATCAAAAGTATTTTAGGCATGTAGGTCTGTGGGCAAGGTGGAAAACAGGCAACCCTTTCCTATGCCTTCAGTTCTTGGGATCAAATGTCAATAAGCAAAAAGTTATGGAAAAAGAACAATTGAGCTAGAAAGCACTCAAGAAGACATCAGTGAAAAACATCAGCTGTAGTCAGTTTAAGGACCAACTACATGCACTTCATGTAGCAAGACTCCAGATAAAATAAAAGTAATGAGTGAAACATGCAAACAGGAATCTCAAAACACAGTATTTAAATTCTTCTCCCGATCTATTTAACACATCCAAAACGGAATTATGCAAGGCACTGTAGAGATAGAGATAATTGCTTTTCCTTTCAATTGTTGTATACTTCCTGTCATTTCCTACGCTAAATAAAATTAGGAGACAATACAAAGGAGTAAACTGAAAGATGTGGTACCTGAATTTTAACACATAAAAAAAAATCTTCCAAGAAACACAAAACAGGTTGCTAAGATTGCCTGTAGGTATTACGTGTTGAAGAATGTGTTTTGACGCAAAGTGACAGAACCGTATATGATGCTTTTTGTGAAAGAATATAGCAAGATGCTAAAACAAAAAACGTTTGTTTGGTTGCTGTTTTTTAATACGCATGGCTCCTTTAAACCCTTTAATACAACATTTTTAGCTTGGAGCAATTAATTCTTCAGAGAGATCATGCATTTCCAATGCTGGTACAGAATAGCAGCCTGCTTCTTCTAATTAACTTGTTATACAGCTTTTAAGGCTACTAAGTTTTGAGCACCAAGATTAAATGCGCTCTTGCACACTTCATTCAAGTATCCCCTTCAGTCTTCTCACACCACAGAAGACAGAAAATGCATGTGCTGGCTTTATAATAAAACCAGTGCTACTTTCGATATAATATCCCGTTAATACCTTTGCAACTGTGCTACGAAAACAGGAAAAATAATTATACAAGCCCGTTTAGCAGTTATGTGGTAAATTAGGAGTCTCAGTTTTGCTTTGTCTTACCAGAAAAGCTTGTAACGCACTGCTCGACAATTCCTTTTCCTGATCAGTAATCCCAGAAGTGCCTGCTCCTTCATGTTTCTCGGTACCTTGATCTGTAAAGCAGACAGAAGATTACAAGAAAGTTTGCAAGTGTGATGACAGCTATTCAGCTTAAAAATTTTGTTTCTTCCAGTACTCAAGATCCTCCTGCCAGCACAACTTCCCAGGTAACTGTAGCACTGCCTCCCTACTACACTAAAACATCTCAAGTTAGCCTATACTCCTACTGAATTCCTCTCCATAAAATGTAAATGTAATAATCCTAGCTAAATTACTGTGCTCAATCAATAACCAAAGTCCTGTAGGTTAACTGACAATGCAGACACTTGCGTATGGCTACAGCTTTAAAGAGAAATCGCTAAGATTGGCTTTATTTGCAAAAAAATTAGCAGTGAAGGCCACACGTCATAAAATAAGTACCACCCTAGGTTTCATGAAAAACCCATGCGTCCTGTATGCTTCTTCCTAAACAGCATGCAAGGGATGCTTTAGGGAACAACATAAAAATCCAGAGCAAACACTGGAACTTCCACCGAGCTCCCTGCTTTGGAAGAAAAAGTCGCCCTAAATATGAGGCTGCAATCGAACCATCATTGTTAATAATCACTGACAGACCTGATAATTTTATTTTTTAAACTCTTTATACTTTTGTACTCTTCAATGTACTCCACCAAATGCTATCTAGTGATTACACTGCAAGACATGAGCAAATGCTACCTATTCACTTTTTCAGCCTCACTCCTGATCTTACAGATCTTTCGTTAACCAGCTCTCCTCCAAGGTGAGCAGGAACAGTTTATTCTGCATCTTCCTCACGCATTTTTTTTCCCCAGGATCTTCTCCAGTTCTACCATATCTTTTTCCAGATTAAAACAACAAGAACAGCACATAGCAATTGTGATGGTAGCCCCTTTGAGCATTTATCTAGTAACATAATGAGCGTTTAATTGTCTTCAATTTCATTTACGTAGAATTCCTAACAATTTACCTTTCAGTTACTGTTGAGCATATTTTTCAGAAAGGAGTCTACTGAACCCTTTTGTCATCATGTAATTAAGAATTCGGTGAAGTTGCATTAAAAACTACAGTACAGACATTCCATGTTAAAGAAGCTGAAAAAACCCAGCCAAACCCTTCCTTGTACTGAAAACAAAGTAAACGGGGGGGGGGGGGGGGGGGGGGAAACAAAAAAAAAAAAAAAACAACAGGGGGGGGGGATAGGGACAAAAAACAAAAAACAAACAACCACCACACCAGACAGCTTATTTCTAGAATAATTAACCCATGGCTAGAACATGCAAAAATAATTTAATCTTTTTGAAACAAAGACTTTATAAACCAGCAACGGTTCCCACTTTTGCAGAGAATTTCTTGCATTGAACAGTGGCAGCTTTGCTCTAACCTACATTTTGTTATCTTAATGGGCTAGGTAGGCTTTGTAAATGCAATGCTGCTTTCTCTTCCTAGATTTCAAGGATATAATGCAAACTCTGCTAACTTTGTTTTCACTTTGAACAAATGAAAACACTCATCTGTGAGCTCCCCTGCAAAATCCATTCCTCATCATCACCATTATATCTGGATCATCTGACTAGGAAAATTTACAAGTATGACAAGACAGACAACAACAGTAAGGAGCAATCAAACTTCAGAAGATTCATCAATTAACATCCACAGTAGGAATAAAGCAGACTTCATAATCTATTAATAGTTTGTGCTTGTTGCTGGGAAGTTAGTGAGATCTCTTCCATTGCGCTATGCAGTAACACATTTGAGCAAGAACTATAAATATTTGGTTGTGACTTTTACCCTGCATCAAGATGCCAACGAAGTTGAGATTTTAAAATCTCAACAATCTTACACCTGTAAGTTACAAAGTAAGCCCCTGTGATTTAGACAAAATTCAGGATTCAGCAATTTCAGTACTCCAGAGGGATGGATCCTTAGGGGGCTACCGAACCGCATGCACCTGCTATAAAACCTGGCTGCATAATGGATTGATCAACACCACTTGCACTGCCTTTTCTTTGAAAGAGAAAGGCCAGAGAGAAAATTAAAACACAAAAAAGCTCAGAAAATTTTTGATGTGCCAAGGTGTTCTGCAGCAAAAGAGGAAAGGAACAAGAAGCACCTCTCCTTCAAGCTAAATATAGATCTGATTTGTACTCTAAATCTTGTGGTTGTACAGCTGAACAGAAAGCTATTGCCCTCCAAGGATCTCTAGAAGAGCAGCGAATAAGCAAATGCATTTTCCTCTCAAACTTTCATGCTAACAGTTACGTTATCTGCTTTACTTGCTCAGCATGCCTTTCAGATTATGCCAGCAAAAGTAACCATAGTGCAGAGGCTTGGGACTCTAAAACTTTTGAAGTTGATAACGCTCGGTCTGGTCAAGAGGTTCCTCACACACAGGTTTACCTAGCAGAGTGCCATCAACTACTGAGTGCATTACTGATTACTGCCATTGTATGCAAGTTCATAAAACAAGCATCTCAAATGAAAGTGGAAGTCTGAATCCTGAAGTAAAATGTCTTCAGTTATGTGAAAGATAAACTAAAAAGACCGTTGTCTAAGTTGTGTAATAAAAGCACCACTTATATAGCTGTTTGATGTATTTCCTAGGCAAAAATCAGGACAGGTCTACAGATTTCACTATGTCTCCAAGTCTGCTGTTATGTTAAAAAAAACCCCAAAATTAAACTGGGGACACTTTAAGCAAAACCAGAGCTGTACCTTCTCCTATAAAGTCAGTTTTATGGCTGTAATCTGATCAACTGCACCTACTACGACTCAGTAAACAAAGCAGGTTTGCAAAACCCAAACAGGAAGCTTATCAAGAAAGAATAAAACTAAAGTCCAGCTGGTGTAGTTCACAGCACAGCTCTTTCCTTTGGCGGGG